GGGGGGGGCTCCTGCTGCGGGCACCCCTGCAGCAGCCCCTTCCAACCTGGCCTGGCACGTTCCCACCTTCTTACCACCTCTCTGGGGCAGCTGGTCTCAGTGTTTTCGCCACCCTCGCTGCACAAAATGTGTTCCTGATTATCTAGCCTAAATCCCTGGTGGGATCGTCACCCCAGCCCAGAGCTTTTCACCTGAAACTTCTCACCAGGGGTGTGTAAAGCCGGGGGGGTGGGTGCGTGTTTCAGTGGGAGACGGGGCAGGGGTGGCAGCAAGAGGAGCTGGTCCTCTGCCACAGCAGTGCCTGGCTGAAGGAGGGTGCCAGGCTCCAGGGGCAGTGGGAGCAGCAGCTTCTGTTGGAATGCTGGTTGCTAAGAAATCATAGAATCATAGGCTTATAGAATGGTTTGGGTTGGAAGGGACCTTAAAGATCGTTTAGTTCCAACCCCCCTGCATGGGCAGGGACACCTCCCACCAGACCAGGTTGCTCCAAGCCCCATCCAACCTGCCCTTGAACACTTCCAGGGATGGGGCATCCACAGCTTCTCTGGGCAACCTGTGCCAGTGTCTCACCACCCTCACACTAAAGAATTTCTTCCTAATGTCTAATTTAAATCTTCCCTCCTCCTGTTTTAATCCCTTACTCCTTGCTCTCTCATTACAAGCACTTGTAAAAAGCCCCTCCCCAGCTTTCCTGTAGCCCCTTCAGGTACTGGAAGGCCACTATGAGGTTTCCCTGGAGTCTTCTCTTCTCAAGGCTGAACAACCCCAACTCTCTTAGCCTGTCTTTATAGGAGACATAGGAGAAATGGGAGAGCAAGAGGTGGCTAGTTTTCAATTGTTGTCAAACACTGAGTGTGATCTTCTCCCTGCAGCTGGACAGATCAACCCGTGAGGCTGAGCTGGGCCTGGAGTATGGGATCCCCACCATGAACCTGGCTGGTCAGAGCCTGAAGTTTGAAAATGGCCAGTGGGTGGCAGGTAGAGTGCAGCTCAACGTCCTTCCCTTCAGTCTGAAGTAGCCACGGTTGGCTGAGAATCCGTGTTTTGACCTTTTTTTTCCCTTCCAGAGTCAGGAAGCTTCACGGGGGATCGCAGGGAAATGCAGCGCTTGCGCAAACGCAACCAGCAGCTGGAGGAAGAAAACAACCTCCTTCGGCTGAAGGTGGACATTCTGCTGGACATGGTGAGTCTCTGCCCAACCTCCACCTGCCCGTGGTGGCAGAAATGGCCCAATAAAGGGTGCTGGGACCCCCAAGGGAGGCTGTTTTCTCTGCACCCAGCTCTCCCTGTTTTACCCTGCTTTGCGAGACAACTGCCATGGCAGAGCAAGTCAAGTCTGATCTCTGCAAGAAGAGGGGAGGGTTCCCTGCAGCAGAGCTTGACTTTGGTGAACACTGCAGCTAGATTAGAGAGGAGCCCCTGGGAGTGCCATGTGTCCTCTTTCCC